GGGAGGGAGGAAAGAAGGAAGAAGGATGGAGAGCCAAAAGGAGACCTGGAGGAGATACATGGAGCAGAGACACGTGAAGAAACTGCACTTCCCTTTTGGTCGTGGACTGTGTGACACAGATGCTGTTGAGAAGAATTATAACCCATGGATAACAGTGACAGCTTTTATCTTGATTTTCCTCCCAGACTTGTCTGGTTGTTTTTTTTTTTTTAGACAGATATCTGTTTATTTTAAAATTCCAATCTTGTCAACTTAGCGTTTTCCACCAACTCCGGGTGCAGAAACTTTCACAGGCTTCACAATCTTTTGCTTAGGTGCTGCCTTTGTGGGAGCCTTAGCAGCAGCCCTTGCTGTCTTTTTAGATGCTTGCTTAGCCTTCTTTGCTTCCTTGGCAGCCCTGATAGCTTGTTCTTGTTGAGCCTTTCTAACTTCAGGTTTCTGATTCCTCTTAGCCATGATACCGGCAAGTGATGCACCAGTGATGGCCTTCTGGAATTTGACTGCACGGTGGGTTATTTTCTTTTGAATTTCTTTCAACTGTCCCTTTTTGTGTATTCTTCTGTAGAGAACAGTCCAGTTTATTTGCCGAGGATTCCTCTTGGAAAGGAATGCTGATTCGCATTTTGCATTAAGAAACTGGACAACCTTCCCGTCCCTCCTGACGTAGCTCCTCCCGTGTCCCGGGTAGATCTTGTACCCACTGAAACTGCACAGCTCAACCTTCATGGCTACGGCTGCCAGGGAGGACGAAAGATGGCGAAGAGTTGTCTGGTTGTTTCTAATTCTTTTCTGTGGGTCCCCGCCAGAAGGTGCCTTAGACTTGTGGCAGGCTTTCAGGCCTTGCTCTGAGCCAATCCCGTTTGGGTGGACTTTTACCCACGAGGTGATGGATAACTTTGGGTGCTTGATTTAGAAACTATATTCTTTGCCTTTCCTGTGTTGTTCCTTTTCATTAAAATCTCATATATTTTATGTTGATGTGGCAGATGGCAGAACCTATTTAGAGCAGACAAGTTTGTGGGGTCTGGGGTGCCCTTCTCCCTACCCTGTAACACCCTCAGCAGTGTATTTCAGTGGATCTGCCTGTTCTGTTCCCTACTCTGTCTCTGGTGAATCCTCTCACACCCTGCACCTCTGGCCTATAACCCAGTTCTTGTGTGCAAAAATAAATAAATCTCAAAAAAATAATAAAATAAAAGCCTCCCTGGTGGCACAGATGTTAAAGTCTCAACACTATCAAGCTATCACCAGCCACTGTGGCAAGAGTTCGATCCCTGGCCAGCACAGGTTGCTGACCCACATGGTGCAACAGACCTCTCCTTTTTCACCCACTGCTCCCCTCAGCAGTATACCTCAGTAGATCCCCCTGTTCTTCTCCCCACTCTGTCTCTGGTGAATCCTCTTACACCCTGCCCCCTGCCCCATACCTCAGTTCTTGTATGCATAAATTAACACAAATCTTTTAAAAAATAATTAAAATAAAAGTATATGTATTTTAAAAGTGGAGTTGATGCATTATATCATGTAAAAAATATTTTTTAAAAGATTTTTGATTTTTGATTTATTTATGCATATAAGAACTGGGGTCTAGGCCAGAGGTGTGGTGGGTGAGAGGACTCATCAGAGACAGAGTGGGGAGCAGCAGGAGAGACAGGAGAGATCTGCCGAGCCATGTGGGTCAGTGACCTGAGCTGGGATTGAACTCAGGCTGCAGTGGCTGGCTATAACTTGATAGCCCTGGGACTTTAACCCCTCCGCCACCAGGGAGGCCCTCCGGTGAAAAATCATTAGGGAAAATGCTTGAGATTAGTTTATTCTCTGGCTTGCAACTTCTGTGTGTGTGTTACGACTTTGAGAACATTCTTTTAGGCCTCAGCATCTTTGAAAGGAAAGGACAATTAGATGTTCTCTAGAGTCCCATTGAGTTCTAAATTTCTGTGATTCTGAGAACCAGCCAAGTAAGCAACAATCTAGGGCATAGCTTATATGTAAGAGTTCCTATTAAATAGCTGGATGGAAAATTTCCAAACATCTTAAGTATAGGTTGTTTATGTAAGTTTATTCGAAGAGACCATGTATACAGTAATACTTGCAAACCTATCCAAGGTATATGCATATTGTAAAATATAAACAATTTTAATTTAATTTTTTTTAGACAAGTTAAACTGATTTTTTAATTTAATTTAATTTAAATTTTTGTTTTTTTATGAATACAAGACCTGGGGTGGAGGCCAGAGGTGTGGGGTGGGGGTGAGGTGGGGTGGAGTGAGAGGATTCATCATAGAGTGGGGAGCATTATATCATGTAAAAATTATTTTTTAAAAGATTTTTTTAATTTTTTATTTATTTAAGCATAGAAGAACTGCAGTCTAGGCCAAATCTACTGAAATACACTGGTGGACCTACTGAAATACACTGCTGAGGGGAGCAGCGAGACAGGAGAGGTCTGCTGCGCCATGTGTGTTAGCTCCCTGGCCAGGGATGGAACTCATGCCGAAGTGCTGAAGTGGCTGGCAATAGCTTCATAGTGCTGAGACTTTAACCCCGCACCACCAGGGAGGCTCTAATTTAATTTTTTATTAAACTTATTAATTTTTTAGGGGGAATAGAATCTAAAGCATATTACTATGAATCTAAAACATCTTACTATTAATTTTAAATGGCTGGAAAACCATTTTTAAGAGATAATTTGAATTTTGCTGTAAGTTTTAAGATATATTTCTGTATGTGGAATTATTCTTTATATGTTATTATTTCTCATATTTTATAACTTAGTATTTGGTTTTCCATCAAGTGTATAACTGGCATACTTTAGGGAGCCACAGAGAGTAGCCCTCTGCCTGCTTTTCTGCAATGATAGAAATGATTCAAGAATGCTAAAGATAACAAAGGAAGTCAGTGGTTCACACTCTACGTTATAATTTAGAATGTCAGAGTATATTTACCTCAGCACTAATGATATTTATTTGGGCTAGATAATTCTCTGTTGTAGTAGACTATCCTGTGCAATATAGGATACTTAGCAGCAATCCCTGGCCTCTGTTGATTAAATGCCACTGTGACAACCCAAGAAAATGTCTCCAGACATTGGTAAATGTCTCTTGGGGGGCAACATTGCCCCCAGTAAGAGTCATTGTAGTAGATACCTGTTTAATTATAAACATTCTTGTCTTTTCTTTTAGTAGACTAGGAACTCAAAATATCTAAGTCGATTCTTATGAAGATTATAGTCATGTTCTACACACAGAAGAGATTTTATCTTTTTGCTTCCTCCAACACAGGAATAATTACTTCCTCTCACATAAATTCAGGGGCATTATTCACTCAAAACTTTAAGGCAATGAGTCTGTGTCATTTTCATTAACAGCATCAGTCTTTGTCACTATTAGCATCTGACTTGCTAATCAAGACCTTTGGAGCCACACACACCTGATTTCCAAGCAGGGGGGAAATGCTCAAAGTTGCCTCAGTTCACACTCCTCCTGGATGCCTCAGCATGACTCACCTTTGCCCTATACTGATGAGCAAACTAACTGCTCTTAGACAATTATCCAGGTACTCGCAGCTCTGGTTAATTGGAAAAGAATAGTCAAGTGCATACCTATTAAAACATGTACATTTACTTTCAAACATAATCTGTAATGATCCTATCAGAAATTTATCATCACATTTTCTTCCCATCAAAGGCGCAGTCACAATAAAATTTTTGCATGTTCTCATGATCTAAGTCAGGAGGCAGAACACAGAGCCGAGGATCATGAAAGAGAGCTTGCCCAGAGCCCATGGGCCCAGTGGTTCAAGTAAGGGAAAAGCGATAAACTATCAGATACTCCCTTTCCTCTCTACAATCCCTCCTCCCCTTCTAGCAATGGAAAAGTCAGGTACTGTGCACAGTCGTGAGCAAGGATGCCCTACAGATTCTGACACTCAATAGATCTCAATAAAATATCTAGAGAAGGCTGAATATAGTGGATTTCATAGCAGCACTCACCAGAAGACTTTCTTATGCTGCATGTTCTCAGTAAATGGGGACAATATTTGCTGAATCATAGGACAACGTAAAATGCTTCTAAAATTTTTAATTTTTCAGAGGTTTGAAAAGCTCACCGTGACAGCACTTGCCTTCATTTTCCTTCACATTTGTTTGCCTAGGATAAAGAAAAAAGCCTGTTTACTAATTTCTAATATTCAAACTTGAAATATTTCTCATAAGAAGATACTCTATAGATTTTTAAATTTTTTTTAATTTTATATAATTCTTACATCATTTTTCATTTTTGCACAATGTATGCATTTTCATCTTGATTATATTCCCCATACAATTCCCACCCCCCCCTTATTTTAACCCTAATCCCTGCCCCCCCCAAGTGTGTCTCTGGATTATAATTGCTTGTTGATTTTGATTTTTTCTTTATTATAATTAGTCTTTTTCCTGGTCCCTTATTTAGGTTTTCTAAATTCCTGCTATGAGTGCCACCATCGGTATTTTTCTTTTTCTTTCTGGCTTATTTCGCTGAGCATGATCCCTTCCTGCTCCATCCATGTTGCTGCAAATGGCGTGAGTTTATCTTTTTTGATTGCTGAGTAATATTCCATTATGTATATATACCACATTTTCTTGGTCCAGTCACCTATTTGGGGGCATTTGGGTTGTTAAGATTTTTTAGACAAACCCTAGCCCAGGCAATGCGTCCCCTTTCTTGAAATTGGCAGTTCTACCGGAGGCCTGGTGTTGGGTGATCTTGCCCGGAATGGGGAACAGAACTGTGGTGGACAAGTGAGGCAAAGACAGGGTCTCCCAAAGAGCCCCAGGGCCCCTTGGACACCCCCGTCCCCCGACCCCGTCCCTGGGCTTCTCGCCACTCCTGCCCCACCCAGGTGCTGCCTGGACCTCTGGGCCTGCGGCGCCACTTTAAGGGCGGGCGGGACGCGCGCCCCAGCTGCGGGCCGGGAGCCATTAGCGGCGGGAGGCGGGGACGCGGCGGGTGCGCGAGCTCCTACTGCGGGGAGGCCGCCCCAGGACCCGACCGGCACATGGGCACCAGCCATGGCGGCCCCAATTATCGGCCCCGAGCTCGGCCAAATTTCTGGCCAGGTAAGAAGCCGCGGGGAGGAGGAGGAAGGAGAGGCAGCTGCGTTCACACCCGCGGGGGCCGGCGCCGGAGCGGCCCACGGGCGGGGCGCAGGTATCTCTCATTCCTGGCCAGGTGAGGCGGGCCAGGGAGGCCACAGGGAGGGTCGCTTCCAGGGCCTCGAGGCAGGCCAGAGGCCGTGAGGTGCAGACCTGGCCTCCTAAGCTGGGCCCCTATCGGGGGACTCCGCTGAATCACCCAAGGAAAGGAAACCAAAGGCGGAAAATGGACTGAAATGCTGTCTAAAGAACCCCTCTCCATCCCAAGCTCTTGACTCTTTGAGCAGCGGACCATTTGTAGGGTTACTTAGAGCAAAACTTAGGTTATTTGGGGCTGGTGGCCCAACAAAATGTGAATGGCAATTTTGGCGTTAATTTCGAATATTAAAAAGTTTATTTAACATAGTAGTGTTCTTGCATGTCAGGGTACAGGAAACAGGGTGCCTCTGTACAGGGTGACGTTTCTTTTTTGTTTGCTTACTGGTCTGGCATCCCCAAGTGGCCTTGCATGTCCTCCAGCAGTTTACCTCCAAACAGGCAGTTGTGGGTGGAAATGCAAAGCCTTTGGTGGGAAAAGACATTCCAGTCTTCATGGAACTGAAAAAGCCTACTGGCTGCATTTGAGGGCACTGACTTATCACCCCTTAACAGAAGTAGGAAATCATTTTTGTGACCATTTGAAGACAAAAATGGAACCTCAGCCACCCCAGCAACTAGGCAAGATAGCGTTGACTCTCTTCTTGGGTGTTTCAGTCGTATCCTGATAGAGAAAAACGAGAGGAAAAACTTTTGGGCTTCAAAGAATTGTTACCCACTTAGAATGCTGTATAGCCTTAATTCTCCTTAAGAACAAACTTTCTGATGGAATTATTACTTTAAAGTGGAACCGTTTAATAGGTTTTGAAAAAAATATTTCAAAATGGGGGCATTTATTTAAACACAACGGAAAAACAGTATTTTATATAAATGGCAGGAATGGAACTGAATAAAATATCTTGATGGTCTAGCAGTATACGTAAATAATCATGATTTCCTATCTTTGAAAAGTCTGAAATCCCAATTGGACCTTTTGTATGCACTTGAAGAGCAGCTTGCTCAGTTTCTACCGAAAGAGCTGTTCAAACCCCTGACTCCTGGGCAATGTAGAGACTTACAACAATTCCCTGTGAGGGCTTCTACCCCTGCAGCTGCTGCTGATTGTCAGCACCGCCCCTGGCCCCTGATAAGAGTGACATAAATAACAACTCACTAAAATGGAGGAGTGATTTGCTTTAAGCACTTCAGCACCTGCTGTTACTAATTAAGGGTTTAGCCTGCCGCAGATTGCAAATGGAAATCCAGTGTTTTAAAAATTGTAGACACTGGAGTGCCCTGTGTGTTGCTGTGATCTCAGAAATCAAACGTGGTGGATAAAGAGCATTTGGTGCTGATGATGTTGCATTATAAACAGTGCCCACACTTAAAAGATCTACAGGATGTTGGCAGTGTTTATCCCTGAGTGGTGGAGTTACAGATCCTTTTCTTAGTTTTTGTATTTTTTAACTTTTCCAATCTTTTTCAATGAATATGTATTACTTTAATGTGGTTTTTTTTAAGGTGCAATAAGCAGTTCAAATAGAAAAAGAAATTTCTGCCAAATGAAATCTAGCGTTGGTTCCAATTGTACTCACAGGTGAAAGTCTTTGTACTAAAAGACAATCTTCCTAAGCAGAATGTACTGGAACATTCATTGTCTCTATCATTCTTATCTGTGGTTCTTATAAACTGTGTTTATTCATATTATACCTTCAATAAGGTATTTTTAACTGAATAAATAATCAAGATTTAAGTTAATTAGAAGCTATTCAGTTCATTCTAGTTACGTTGGGATAGTGGGACTAGGGCAGTATTCTTAGTTTGTCTGATTATTATCCCTCACACTGACTTTGTAGGCCAGGGAAGGAAGCTTTTGGCAGGAGAGCAAATCAGTTCTTTCTGGAGCTGCGTTATTTCATACCCCTGTCATAGTGCAGAGTACTCTGTAAATCCTCAGGCTCTCGCCTGAGGATTTACAGAATTGGGCCTTGGTGGTGCTAGTCTTCCTCACTGTCTTCCCCATTTCCTTTCAGGTTTCTACCCATTCCCCAACACCAGTGTTAAGCACTTTGGAGCTCACTCTAGAATTTTCTCCACAAACCTAGCTGAGAGGTCCTGGGGAATTTGGGGACCGAGCCTCTGAGACAAAAATATCACAGTCAGAAGCACCAGGTGTTAGCTAGTAAAAGGCTCAGGTTAGAAGCTGGTGTGTTATCAAAACTCACCTTTCTTCCATAGTCTCTGTTTCCCAAGTATATGGCTCAAGAAATGCTGAGAGTAGTTTGATTTAGGAATGTTTTCACTTTCTTTTCCTTTCTTTTCTTTTCTTTTCTTTTCTTTTCTTTTCTTTTCTTTTCTTTTCTTTTCCTTTCTTTTCTTTTCTTTTCAAGAAAAAATGTATACAAGAACTGGGGTACAGGCCAGAGGATCCACTAGAGACAGAGTGGGGAGCAGAACAGCCAGATTGACTTAAGTATACTGCTGAGGGGAGCAGCGGGAGAGTCAGGAGAGGTCTGCTGCACCATGTGGGTAGCTCCCTGGCTGGGGATCGAACTGGTGCTGCAGAGGCTGCGGACAGCCTCATCCCAATGCCTTGCACCACCAGGAGGCCCCCTCTTTTCTCTTCTAATGTACCTTTTCCTACATCTTATCTCCATCAGGTCGATTTGGCTTTTTCTGTGTTCTTTCTGCTTGAATTTGGTATTATTTGAGGAAACATTTTAGCAATCACCACTTACAGGGCATTGCACAAACATTTTTCCATGTTTTGCCTTTTAGGTATTCTGTCCCAGATGAGGACAACATACATATTAACTCAAAACCACAGGCCAAGGTCCATTTATCTTGAAAGTTTTTGCCCTCTTCCCACTGCATCAAGTTCATCCACTGTTCTTCCTGTGTTCCTGGAATTAAAAACTACTTTTTTTAATCAGCAGAGAAAAAGGCTACTAGATTGCAAGCCAGATGAGGACAACATACATATTAACTCAAAACCACAGGCCAAGGTCCATTTATCTTGAAAGTTTTTGCCCTCTTCCCACTGCATCAAGTTCATCCACTGTTCTTCCTGTGTTCCTGGAATTAAAAACTATTTTTTTTAATCAGCAGAGAAAAAGGCTACTAGATTGCAAGCCCCATAAGGGCAGGCACTTTGTCTGTTTGTTCACCTTTATCACTGACACAGTGTCTGTCCTTTAGTGAGGCTAAATAAATATCTACGGAGAGAATAAATAGAGATCAACCATATTTCACCAGATGCAGTGGCAGGATGTTTTAAAGGTAACAGAAAATAAAGCTAATAGAAAGTTTTACAACTCATTCATAGCCTAGAACACTCTGGTTTATACATGCTATTTTATGCTTAGACATGCTATCTTGGTGTAATTAGTATTAGCATCCCCATTAGTCTCAAAAGTGTCCAGTTTAGATGGTAAATGGTCATGATCCGTAGCAGATAGTTTATTTTTGGACATTCATAGGTTGCTTCAATTAGGTTAATTAAAAACAAAACTATAATCACTCCTCTTTTGATCACTTGATAATGACTTTCAGCGCCTGGTGTTTAGTTCACAGGGGAAAATATTAGTATGAAAGAAATCCTGTGCTGCAGTGGAGATTTGCAAACAATCTGCCCTCAAAGGCATCAGGGTGTTTATTCCCATATTGCTCCTAAAGTGCTATTGGAAATGAGCAATGTTTTTGAAATGAGAAGGAGGCTCTAGAAGGATCTGATGCCATACTGTAGAAATTCCAAATTTCAAAGCACATTTGAAAGTATTATGCTATCATCTTAGAACTTAAGGAATTTGAGACAAGTAGAAAGAAATTAAGGCTACTCATGTGGGTTGAATACTGTCAGAACCCAGAGCATAAGAGAAAAACAAAAAGGAAACCAAAGCAGCTTATTCAGCTGCTGGATGCTAAAAGAAAATGGTCCAGTTTCTTAACAGTTCAGACAAAATGATTTTGACCTTACAAGTATTTACAGGGTAAAAGTAACACTGAATTGTAGGTCCTAATGCTACTTACAGAAAGAAGGGGTTTAATTTCCCGAAGTATTGTAGGAACAGCAGGAGGGAAGAAGGGACATTTAAATGATCAGCCTATCAGAGGGCATAGAAAAAACAATTTTTTGTAATGTCATTTTATTTTTTTCTCTACCCTCCACTGAACCAGTCATATGTGGAAGACACTGTAGTAAATGGGAAACCTGAAATAAATGAATAAAACCATTTTATATTAAATTGTGTATGTTTCATAGTAAATATTAATTTCATTATATTAATGACATTAGTTAGTGCCATTAGTGTAATTAAAATCCTATCTATATTAAAAATAAAATATCAGACTGTAAAAAGTCTAAAAATTAAAATATATGCTATTTATAGGAAATATTTAATTATACTTTAATTTCTGTTTAGAAAGATAAACTCAATGCAAGTAATAAAAATGTACATTTAAAATTATTTCACTTGAAAAGGTAGATGAAATGTTAATTTTTAGAAAGATGTATGAACAAAATTTATATAAGAGGAAATAAAGTTTACTAATCATTAAGGAACTGTAGAAAATAGTCTAAAACCCACCTCTGTCTATGACTTTTGGCCCAGATTTCAAAAACATGTTTTCCCTAAAATTTAAGAAGCAGGTCATTTCTATATTTTATAAAATATTCAAGATTATACAATATTATTGAAACCTTCTATTGCATTCTTCAAGACTAGCATAACAGTGATACCCAAATCAGATAAGACGATATAATAAAACAAAATGTATCCAGTTTCAGTATTAATGGTGAACATCAGACATAAATGAATTACTTGATCCCATTATACATTATCTATAGGTTTATTCCAGCAATGCAATGATGGCTTGACATTAGGAAATTTATTATTGTAATTCACTACTTAGCAGATTAAAGAAGAAAAAATATATAATCAACTTGATACTGAAAAAAGTATTTGATAAATTTCAATATCCATTTCTGATTTTAAATTCTTAGCTTCCAATTAGAAACTCTTTTAGCTTGATAACAGGCATTGACCAGACTTTCTGCATCATATTTAGTGGTAAAAATATTTGAAATATTCCCACTAAAGTCAAGGCTAAGGCAAGAATGTTCACTGTCATTTCTGCTATTTACCAGAGCAATGCTTTAGGATCAGTAAATGAAAGGCATATATGCTGGAAACAGACAAAAAATGTCATTTTTGATGACAGTGTGATTAGGAAATTCTAAAGAATCAAGCATACAGAAACTTTTTTTTATTATAAATTTTATATTCCCCATGCAATTGTGACCCCCTTATTTTGACCCCAATCCCTCACCTCCCCGCCCCCCACCTCTCATAGAGTGTCTCTGGTTCATAGTTGTTTGTTGATTTTGATTTTTACTTTCTTATAGTTTTTCTTTTTCCTGGTCCCTTATGTAAGTTTTCTAGATTCCTGCTATGAGTGAGACCATCCGGTATTTTTCTTTTTCTTTCTGGCTTATTTCGCTGAGCATGATCCCTTCCAGCGCCATCCATGTTGCTGCAAATTGCATGTGTTTATCTTTTTTGAACAAGCATACAGAAACTATTACCATAAAGTACCTAATCAAATTCCTTGTACAGAATAGTTTTTCTTTATATCAATTATAATCAATCAGAAAATGTAGCGAGAAAAGAAAACCCCTTCATAATGACTCCAGAATCTTGAAGTATCTAGGAATAAATATATGAGGACACATCTAAAATCTATGTGGAGGTAACTATGAGACTGAAGGACATTAAAAAAAAGGCCTGAATTCTCTGAGTCATACAGGAGTTTTAATATCATAATGGTATTTCTTAATCTTTATAACACTTGCAAACAGAATACAAATTTTAAGAGTTTTTTATGGAAGTTGATAAATTTCTGAAATTCTGTTGTAAGAGAAGGTATGGAAAATAATCAAAAAACAGCAAAGAGAGAACTAACTATATGTTCTTTTAACTATAAAATATAATGTAAAGAGCTAGTAATTAAGCAGTGTGGTATTAACCAGAAATAGGTGAACAGATCAATAGATCAGAATGAAGCCTGGATGGTGGGGGAACTTTATATACATAGGTATTGAAAATACTGAAAGAAATTGAGCCTATCATAAGGCTAATCATAAGGTAATTAGCTCTGCATTTGAAAAGATGAAATTGGATATCAACTTCAGGTAATCACCACTTAAATTATAGATGGGATAAAAAGATAAATGCAGGAAAAAACACTTTTAAAGTATTAGAATACACTAATGATGCATATTTTAATAATTGGGATAGCTTTGAAAGCAAGACAATCCATAAAGGAAACTGTTGGAGGTTTTGTTACTGAATATTTAATATGTGTTTGTGACAAAAGACTACCATTGAAGTTAAAAGCCATGACAGATTAGAAAAGAATTGCTGACTTATATCCAGAATATATAATTGCCTATTGAACAATAAGAGATGAACAACAAGGAGGAAGGTGGGCAATGGTAACAAATAGACAAGCATGATTAAATAGAAAGTAAAACTAAAATAAAAAGATACTCAACTTCACTATTAATTAGAAAATGCAAAATAAAAGTTGACATATGCTTATATATGCAATATTGGCAAAATGAATAGAACATTAAGAATGATCTTATTAAGGATTTGGGGAAAGAGTTCTCATGTACACTGGTAGGGACAAATGTTTTTGTATCTTTGGGAGACCAATTTAGAAATGTCTAAGTTGAAAAACAAAAACAAAAAATCACCTTCCATCTTCCAGTTTTGCTTATTTACACAAAGATATATTTACAGTGGTATACATCACAGTGTTGTTAAGACATCGAACCAGACCTGAGAAGAATGGTCTAATAAATTACTATCATAACAAATGAGGAAGACTGGATCAAGATGGCAAATAAGCACTTTCTCCTTCCACCCAGATCCCAACAAATGATAGGAAAAAAGTATTTAAGATAATAAATCTGTAACAACCTGGAAAGTGACAAAGAATGTTTTTAGTGGGCAAATTTCTGAAGAATTGTTGAAGTGTATCAAGTGAGAAAAACAGTGAATTTAAAAAATATTTCTCATTTGTGGAAAAAAGCATTTATGTGTATATTAGTTTTACATGGATTTTACATGTGTTTGGATATAGACCAAGCCATTGATGCTATTACTTCTAGGAAGAGGATTGAATTAGGATGTGAGAAATAGGTAAAGGAAGACTCACCTTGTTTAAACAAAAGAAAATTAGAAGGAAGGTAAAGTGAGAAGTGCAGAAACTTTCCTTACTTTTAATTTGCTTCATTTGTTTGCATCTCATTGTTCTTTCTAGCCCTTGAAAAACCAGATTGAAGAGGGAGAAGAGGGAAGCCCCACTGTGGGCCACCTACGCCATCATCTTCCCTGCAGTGTTGTGTCTTTGCAAGCTGCCTTTCTCTTCCTATAAACATTTGCAACTCTTTCACCCTCTTCTTTTGGCGTCAACTCCCAAAACTGTCTTCTGATTTTGACCTGTTTTATGACCTGGTATTTCCAACTGTCTGCTGACACTTTCTGCTAATTCAAGCATCCCAACTCTGACATTTTCAAGAGTTGTAGAGAATAAAACAATGAAATAAAAAGTGAAAATGGATATTATATTTTTCTGATTGAATGTGCTAAATGAAAATAAAGAGATTTTTTGACTCATATTGGGATTTAAATAGCATGTATATTTCATTTTAAGAAAGAACTTTGTTTCTTAAGATTTAGGGATTTAACTCATCTCTGTTCTGTAGAGCATGTTTCATCAAAATAAATTGTGTGGGAGGGTCATCAGTTTGAGTCTCTTCTTCATAAACAGATTTTCTAGCAGGCTGGGTGATTAGGAAACTGGTTATTAACAAGAAAGAAACTTGCAGGAAAACCATAGCAGAATAATATTTGTAGGCAAGACTTTTAAAAGTAGTGTGATCTTCATGTCCATTCACCACCCTAGGTACTGAGGACATGAAATTAATAGTTCCTGCCTTTGAGGGGCTTAGAGTTTACCATTCAGTCCAGCTGTATCATCAGCCATAGTGTTATCTGTAACCTTCATGTTATTCTCTCATATATGATATTTTCTTTTGTGCACAGATATTATATGATGCTCCTGTTTTTTTCTTTTTTCTTTCAGGCAAAAATAGATCTCTTATTAGTTGGAGATGTCACTGTTCAGTACCTGGCTGATGTTATACAAAAAGTCTTTTCAACTACAGCAAAAATTACCATCACCATTTGTGATATGAAGAAAGCAGCAGCACTTTGGGATATAGCTACATTCAACATGGTTTTCCTGAAAATGACTTCCTTACCAACTGCTGAGGAGCTAGAAGCCATAAGATTAATTAGGTAATCTTCAAAAACCTATTCCTTAGAATAGTTATTATTGAAACCTAATTCTATAAAAATCCTTAAAACGTACCATTTCTATTCTGTTTTTTAAGGTGAGGTGTATTTTTCATGGACAGAATCTACATATGTGTTGAATTTCCAAATTGATACACTATTATAAGAATGATCTTTTTGACTTAAAAAGTAATAGTAGTAGTAGTGGATGTAAGAATGGTAAGAATTAATTGGTCATAGGAATTTATTTGGTATATAATGCTTACCTTAGTTCTGTAGGTATACCTTCTTAACAGTTATATCATTAAAATGGCACATCTTTTCAGAGTTCATTAATTGTTATGGCAGATGCTAAGGCAGGTGAGCACTGTTAGCTCTATGTAAGGACATCAAAAGAGGTCTTTTTTTTTAAAGAATTTTTTTCCTTTTTTTTATTTTTAAAATTTATACAAGAACTGGGGAACAGGTCAGAGACACGGGAGGGTGAGAGAATTCACTAGAAACAAAGCAGGGAGCAGAACAGGCAGACAGACTAAAGGGGAGCAGCAGGCGAGGCAGGAGAGGTCTGTGGCGCCATGTGTGTATCTCCTTGGCCGGCTGGGAATCAAACCCGTGCTGCGCCACTGGGGAGGCCCAAAAGATGTCTTGATGTGAAATGGCTAAGAGACTGGATCCACTGCGTTCAGATCAATGTCACCTCCAATATTCTTGTTTCATCTTGTAGCTCCATTGAAATTCACTAGAAGTTTGATGTAATTGACTCTAGAAATTAAACTCTAATCCTGGAAGAGTTAGATTCTTCCTTATCTGACGACATAGGATTTTGAGCCATTTGGGATGTTTTTAAACAGAGTTCTGGATCAGAATAAATTTGTTCCTCTTCTATGAGAAGATGTGAGAAAGTGTAATTGTAGATAATACCATAATATATAAGGTCTTGTCATAATTATAGAACAGGTCTTTCTAGACTGAAGGAGAATGTTCAGAGACAATGTTGTGAACTCTCAATAAAAAGGAGATGCGTATTAGGGTAAAAGAAAGATTTGAATGGGAAGAAGCCAAAGCTTCTGAGTTACTTGTGTGTGGGGGGGGCGGAGGGAGGGAAGAGAAGAGACGCTGCTCATGGAGTTTTTTTATAATAGTTGTTGTTCTACAGTTGTTGCTGGCTTTTTTTTCTGGAAATTTATACTCTAGAAAAACCAGGCAAAATCCTCAAAGTGGTTTTCAACTCCAAAAAGATTTCGAACGGTCTTCCTTTTGAAGCTATTCCTATTTTATTGTGTACTCAAAAAAAGAACCTCTGGTTCTAGACTCATAATAACATCTAATTTACATAGTATTGAAACAGCTTTAAACTGTTTTGTGAGAGAGGTAGAGCAGGGTTTCATCATCCCCACTAGATAGGTTAGCAAACGAGGCTGAGGTCACATGACTTGTCACAAAACTACCTAGTACTCTTTCGTCTTCCCTTCTTCTTCTTTCTGAAAGTCTGTAATTATTTGTCGTCTGTCTGGAAGTTAAGTCTTACCTCTGAGATTCAGTATATGCCAAACTTACTATAAATTGAACATGGTTTAGAGTTTAATACAGTTTTCAAAGAGTACTGCACAAATACATGTGGCTGATAAACTGTTCATTCCAGGAGTAGAATGCTAGCTGTGCTACTCCAGATGTAGTAGAGGTTTTGTATTTGTTCATCTTTGAAGCTATATTTTAAACATGGGAAGAATAAAGTGCTGTTTAATAACAAGGTTTATGTCTTATCACAGTTATTGAAAACTAGGCTGTTGAAAGACAGAACTTCCTGTCTGATACCTTTGTGGATTCTCCCCACTGCTACTTTCTTTATTCGGAATAGCACAAGTTAGATTTCTTGGGGAAAAGAAGGTAGATGAAGGTATTAAATGTATAGTTATGTATATGGTCATTCTATTTTGCCATGAAAGCATTTGTTTGAAAAGAAGAAAAGGATAGCTTATGGAATGCACCTGGATTTGTTTTTCTTATCTCCTGTCACACTATTTCCAATACCCAGTTTAGGTCTTGACAAGTACCAGGTATGCAATATCAGCAATGCTGTTCTGGAGCAGCAAATTCTGAAAGACAACAGTTTTCTTTATGGAAAATGCTGGCATCAGTGGCTGGAAATGTCTCTGAAGTTCCCTTTCATGCCTCCAAAACTTTCATGAGTTTATGAATTATTTAAATCTCTGTGGAACTTGTTCATATTTAGAACCTGTAGTTTTTCTTAGATTAATGAGTCCTATAAGTGTACTGTCTTATTTATAAGACATTTAAATCTTTATCTTTCCTGAAGTGCTATATCTTTAGAGTTTGGGCTAACATTTAATCACTAAAGCAAAGTAAAGTGTCTTGGTTTAACTTTTCTTCTGCTGTATTTTAGATTTTCCCCTCTTAGATCTTTGTTGTTTCATAATATATCAAAATTTTAACAGGTCTAGGAAAATAATATAACTATTTACCTTGCTTGTCTCTGAGTACTTTATTATCCCCCACCAGTGAATGAAGAATTTGCTATACAGTAGAAGTGTCCACACTTATTTTCAGTATTAGAGCACATGATCATAAATCTATCATCTAAAAGATGTATGGGTTCATTTTGAAAATAATAATGAAATATAACCTGTTAGGCTTACTATAGAATAAAATGTAAGCAATGACTTTAAAAAGATTCTTAAATTTATTTTTAAAGAAGAGCTATGTTTTCAGCATGGAGATAAGCAGTGATCAATTTTAATCATTCATAAAATTATTAGTACTTATACTGACATTCTCAAGAATAATGGAAAATCTGAATTATAGATTAACATTCCTACTACTTCTCCTCAATTTGATTTCATTTCATGAATACATTTTTATTTAGCCAGATGAACTCAGATACTGCCTAGTATTAAAATATTTTATGAAAATTTTATGATTCATGTACTTGACTCCAGGGATATTTGATTCTCAGATTAGTCAGTCTTCAAATCTGAATCATATTCAAAGGACAGATAATTGATAATTCAGAGATACCCTGATATGTTATATTCCAAAGGCAGGTACAGAAAATTAAAATATGTTTCAAGCTCACCAACAATGTATAGAGCCTGCCTGAAATTATGATTTTCTTTTCCATGAAATGTTTCTGCAGTTTTTGAAATTTTGATTCTTCTGAGCTCAGAGTATTTCAGCATTAGGAAAGGCATGCAGAATGTGGTTCCATCAGTTCAAGCTACAGATCAAGCTTAGATCTGATATTATTCTTCCCCATGCATTGATAGTTTCAATTGCCTGAGCAGTTACCTTATTGCTTTCCTGAGAAAACCCCATCCTGGAGCCATAGGCATCTACCAAGTTGTTCTTTAAGTCCCTGGTTACAAAACATCTTTGACCTGACAATACAACTCAGTAAATCTTACCCAGTTTGCATGACCTAGTGCCTGAATACTGGATAGTAAACACAATAAGAACGCAGTAGTTTGTCTAAAAAGATTATCCTATAAGTTGATGATATAAATGGAAACTGAGGGAAATTAGATCTTTACCATGACTCAGGAACTTTTCTGATAAGCAGTATAGTGGTAGCAGGACATATCAAACCATCACTATTTACTACAATGTACTCTTAGAACTTTACATTTTATCACAGTTCCCTATTAATAGCAAGTGAACTCAGCATTTTCATATATCTAGAAAAACTCAATTTTCTTACTGAAAATAGTTGTTTTAATTAAGTAGTTAAAAAAGAATATTATTTTTTTCAAGTTCCAAACAGGCCATATGGGAATAATTTGAGTGCATTTGGTTCACAGACCACATAATGGATAATTGTGCTCAAGAAGGCTGCAGCTCAAAAATGACACTGATTTTTGTTCCTTGAAGTCCTTGTTGGGTCTAAAGGAAATTAGTTTAGACATTTCCCCTGCCTTCATAGGGACTTTTAAGAACACTTTAGTCCTCTTAGATGGTAAATTTTAAAGACAAGTTTCTTTGTTCAGTAAAGTGTAAAGCTCAGCTGAAAACACTTTCATATGATTTTTTTTTTTTTTTTTAAATCTACTACTTACCAGACCTAGGGATGGGGCAGTACTGGGAACTAACACTGCAACACTGCTGTGGGATGCCTCTTAGAGTGTCAGTGTCCTGTCTTATATGCGAAGTGTAGTCTCAGGAATGATCATGACATCTGAACAGAGCATTCTGTGAAGCATTAGCAGAAATTAATTGTTCCCCAATGACTTGCAAATTATTAAAACCCAAGAAACATCAATTAAGAAGGTGGGCCTCCCCTAGTGACGCAGGCGGTTGAGCGCAGCGATGTGAAGTTGTCCGCACCTTCTGTAGCGCTTGTTTGATCCTGACCAGCTGGCGAGGGTCCCACATGGTGCGGCAGACCTCTCCTGTCTCGCCTGCTGCTCCCTTCAGCAGTGTATTTCATCAATCTACCTGTTCTGTTCCCCGCTCTGTCTCTGGTGATTCCTCTCACCCTCCCATGAATCTGGCCTGTACCCTGGTTCTTGTATAAATAAATAAATCTTTAAAAAAAAACAAAGAAGGTACTCATAAGTTTTTAGAACCTATAATTTGATTTTAATATATAAAACAAGTGGTATTAGTTGGGATGGATAAAGGAGATCATTTTTTGTGTGTTGTTTAATTTTGTTGTAAGGAATTCATTAGAAAGAGGACTTTTTTTTGGGTTATCCTGGGAACTAGAACCTTCCTTTGTCGTTAGCTTATTGATTTGTAAAGAATGTGAATGAGCAGCTGAGCTTAAGACCAGAGTTGGATTCGGGGAACTATTGATTGCTGGCGTTTCTGTACAATTAGGGTTTCACTGGCAGGGGAAGTGTTTGGGTTGGTAATTGAGTCTGTGCTAGAGACAAAAATTCAGGAATTCCAGTTTTGTCTGATGTAAAGTTTGAAATTTGAAAGTCATCAGGGCATATAAATTCATAATCCAAGTCTAACTTACTTTCAAGTCAATGAAGTCAATTTATAAAAATTTAAAAACATAAACACAAGATTATTACTAAAAGTAAAGAATCTTTTTTTAAAAAGTTATATTATGCTAGAGAATTTTAACTTACAATAATTTACTTTTTGTGACTCTGCAAAACATTTTTTATTTTAAAAGTTCAAGTAAGCTATCCAATAACTTTCTTTTGCTGGTCCTACCCATTAAGTCCATTTTCCCATTCATTTATCTTTCTTCATCCTATTATTCATATTTCCTTTAGTCCTTATACTTTTATCATAAAAAAAATATGTGCATTTGGTTATAACATTATATGTATATAATGTTTATGCTGTGACAGGCAAAATTCTTATTACTGCATTTCCACCATTCAATACCACTATACTAAGGTGTTTTTTTTCATATTAATTGATTTTCTGTTATTTTTGTTGAAGTAAAATTGCTAAATAACATTACATGTTTTAGGTGTGCATCACTGTGAACCAACATCTGTATATAATACTATATTAAGTTCTTTCATATACCACATTCAGTCTGCTAGTCAGATCCTATCTTGCCTTCCACATATGCCTATTTTGATGGTAGTACTTCTGCGTGAGCTTCTCATTTCTCATAGAAACTATACATTCTTTCCTTTTTTCTTTCAACCTAAACTGAATTCATAGAAAAGAGTCAAACCTGAATAGATCTTAACTGGTAAATGTCGTATTTAATCAATATCTTGTTGTTTGAGGTAGTTAAGTCAACATTCTAAATTATCTATTTTTTAAGAAAGTTCTTGGGTATGTCACCTTTTCTCTACCATCAGCTCTTGCCTGGGAAACTGCAATCCCATCTCTTAAATCTACACTTTGCGTCTCTGTCAAATCAAACCATGATGGGCAAGAATCATCTTTCTACAATGCAAACATCATCATGTTGCTTGCAAGGTTCATAGTTTCTTCTTGCCCATTTTAATTAAGTACCAAATCTTTAATTTGGCATGAAAGGTCTATCATAATCAGATTCCTGTCCTACCTACCTCTCTGATCTTATGTGTATCTTCCTCTTGGACTTCTTTCACTGTCTGTTTTCTGCACATGCTACTCTCATTGCCCAGAATGTACTTCATTGCTTGTCTGCTTTCTGCCTTCTTCCCAGCCCCTACCTTTCATGTAGCTAACTGCTATCTGTGTGAGGAATTTCTTCCTGTGAACTTCCCTGAGGCTGCAGGACATGTTGGTGCCAAGGTATTTGCTCCCATTAGCAGAGTCTCTCTCACCCATAGTAAGTTCTTAGTTACATATCTGGCTCAGATATGTAAATTATATATAATGCAACTTAAAACAGAAGACAATGTATATTTGCTTTTATATGCATATGTAAGAGAATTGAACAACATTACTCAGTTGAAGATTATTCCAGGTCTTGTTTTATATATAGCCATATACTAAAAAGTGATGCTTTATGTATTTAAGAGTAGTTTGCTTATCTTTAAGGTCTCATTCACAGTAATATTCTTCTTGGAAAATAATTTTCTTTTAGCTGATGTCAACACTCAATATCTATCAAATTATCACAAATTCCAACTTAACTGAAAATTTAATTGTATGAACAATAATGCCATACTTCTTTTAAGGTTTGATTTTGAAAATTTTCGAACATATGAAAGTAAAGAGAATAGTATAATGAACTTCATGTACCCACAATGCAGCTTTAATAGCTCTCAATATATGACCTGTCTTGTTTCATCTCTCCCTCTGCAATACCCACCTCCCCACCCTCTATTCCTGCTCACTGGTGGATTATTTTAAATCTAAGATGTCATGTACTTTCATCATTAACTACTATAATAGGTATCTCTCTAAGATAAGTCTTAAAACAATAGCCACAATACCAATATCATACCCCCAAATTAGTTACAATTCCTTAAGATTGTCAAATATCCAATAAGGGCACTAATTTCTCTGTTTATTTTATGGTTTCTTTTTTAAATTGTTTTATACAAATCAACATTCCATTTACCTTCCCTCTCTTCTTTCTCTTTTTGTCTTGTTCTTTATTTATTTATAAATATATATATATGTATATATATTTAGAAGTGGTCATATGTCTTATGGAATTCCCCACTTTCTGGATTTTGTTGGTTTTATCTCCATACCATTCTTTAAAATAGTTCTTTCTTCCTTAACTTTCTTGTAGACTGGTGGCTAGATCAAGAATTTGGATAAGATTTAAGCTTTTTTTTTAAAAGCATGAATAAAAGTGGTCCATCTTTTCCCTCACTGATTTGAAATGATGCTTTTACTAAATATCCATATTAATGCTACCATTTTATGTTGTAAAGTGAAAAAAGAAAATCACTCTAGTTCCTAATAAGCAAAACTATTGAATCTAATTTTTTGAACGATGATTTTGCTTCGTTTTAACATATTTTTCTTCTCAGATTCGGCAGGGCAAAAGATGTACATTTGTTGATTGTATTTATAGTCCCTGAAAATTTTAAAGGTATGTGTCTGCTAGATATATTGTTTTCTCTCTGGATAAAAATCAAAGATCAATACTGAATACAATGCTTTTTAGGTTGTATTTCAGGGCATGGAGCTGATATTACTTTAACAGAACCACTGACAATGGAAAAAATGAGTATTGTGGTAAAATACTGGAAAACATATTTCTCAAATACTGGTGAGTGAAAAACAGATTTCCAAATTTTGAAAATTCTAGTTTAAATTCTGTACATTTTAAGTTGTTTCTTTTTTTTTTTTTACTTTATGCCTTTTATTTTCTAAGGATTAACTGTAAATTGTATATACTGTAAAAAAGTTACAATACTGATGATAGTTTGAATAAAACAAATGTAAATAAAATAAAAGAAAACATATTCTTTACCTATGAAGAAACACTTTAAAGCATGAATGTTAAAAAAGAACATTTAAAAAAAGGAGTGGTGTGTGAAATCCTGTATCATCTGAAGTGACAGATAGATCATCTGATCTACAGGACAATCCTGAAAGTGACTTTAGGCCCATCAAAAAATATATTATCTTAATTTGAGAAGATTAAGATAAAAGTGTTGCACAAGGCAAATAATAGTTTTTGGTACACTCAGGGCTTTTTGATAGAGAGGCTGAGTTACTTAGTCATAAATGGAATTAATCATTCTGTGGTATATAATTGTCTAAAAGCCAAAGACACTAACCTTGAATTATAATCTATTTATTGCTTTGCAAAACACTTACATATAAATTACTTTATTTTTAGATAACTTCTGGATGATGTCACTAATATGTGGAATAAAAAATAACTAAATTTATAGCCAGAAAAGACATGCTTAAAAATTAACACTTGCTAGCTGACTATAGAACTGAAACACAAAAGTTGGGGAGTGCTAAGGACAAAGAGGAAAGGAAGAACGGTGGTCCAATGTGGTGAAATATGGGTGAGCAGGTGCACTGTGGTAGTAATACATGATAGAGGTGTCCTAATATACCGCAATTAAAATTTAATTAATTAAAAAAGAATATGTTAGATTACCAATGAAAAAAATAAATTACTTTAAGTTAACAGGGTGGTTATCCTTTGTTTTATATTTTTTATATTTGTAGACACAGATAATTAGTGTCAATGCTTCGATTATACCTGACATTTTTAAACTCTTCACCTGTATTGTATTATGCATATTGCTGTCATCTAAATACTTAAGCTAATTAAATTAGCTTTAATTTGACTTGTAAAAGAACATACTCCAATTTCCAAAATTAAATTCTGTTGACATAATTATTGGTCAATGACTAGTTAGGCTTTTCTGGACTTGGAATACAAGCTAGGAAATCTTCTCAAATTAAGATAATATATTTTTTGATGGGCCTAAAGTCACTTTCAGGATTGTCCTGTAGATCAGATGATCTATCTGTCACTTCAGATGATACAGGATTTCACACACCACTCCTTTTTTTAAATGTTCTTTTTTAACATTCAGGAGAGATTAGTGAGTCTATGACTCCCAGACTACAGTTTCAGAGTTCATCCTGGAAATGACTAATTGTGGTGACTGAAGTCCTTTTTTGCAACCTCTTTCTTATTCGGTTCACAGTGGAAGTAGAGCAGCTGCACCTCACCACCTGTCTAGCACCATTCTATTGGTCATGGCCATGTCTGCTTTAGCCGTCTCATCTTTACAGTGAGGATGAACAGCTGCAAAACAAAAAACAAACACAACCCAGCAAAACCATCAGATGCCATGTTTTAACAATGAAGCTGCCTGTTGAAGACGCATACATATTTTCTGTCTCCAACATTTACCTATAAATAAGAACTTAATAAGTAAACTCGGTTGAAGATGTCTTAAGCAAGCCTATTGCAAACATCCTAGAATCTTGTTGAATGGGGTAAAAATAGCATGTAGTATTTTAATTGTGCTTTCTGACCTGGGTGCATACTTCACAGATTCACACACACACCCCCCTATAATTTCTATTTTAAAAATACATATTTGGTAAAAATCTATTGAGTAAAAAGTGACCAATGCTTTTGATTAAGGTTGTATTGTAATTAATATCATCCCCACCAGTGATTTTAGAATGAAAATGATCCTCTTTTTAAAACTTTCAGTTAAGAATGAAAATTATATGAAACCTGAAGAACATGGATTGCCCCTGCAGAAATCCTGCAGTGAACACCTGGAATGTTTTTCTACTGATCTATTTGCTTGGTTAGTTTTTTTTTTTCCTGCTTTTTCATAATAGTGATTTTTATTATGAACATTTCACTAAAAATTTTATTTTTGAGAAATTGTTGATTGTGAAACACTAACTCAAGTGCTGGTCTTATGCAAAAGAAAGACAAGGCTATTTTGTGGAAGAGGGATACAACTTTCTCTATACTTCAAAATCCGGAGTTGGGACTTGGGTACACATTACAGAAGTATTCAGCTCAATATAAGGAAGCACTTCATAACAATCATACTTGACCACAGTGGAACAGGTTGAATAGTAAGCCAGGAAGTTCCCCATCTCTGGGCGTGTTAAAGTGGAACCTGGGTTATCACTAATCAAAGCTAAATAATAGGAATGACATTTGAACTTTTTGAAAACAGTGAAATCTTTACTACAAACAAAAATTGTATATATAATCCCAATATTTAAGCACTTAAGAGCAGCCTCAACTGTTTTCCAGCTACCGCTAAGCATCTCCTGATTTTTTTTTTAATTCGTGAAGCTATTCCTCCAAATTATTGAAAACAACCCTTAAAATTCTCTCTGCTCTCCACCTCTGTCTCACTTTATCTCTGCCTCTCATAGATTTTTTTAAAACTTGTTTTCAACCCTGCTTTGGATATGCAGTTGAACCAGGGTCGGTTTGATACTCTTCCAATGCTAGCGTTATATTCTTACAAAAATTCAATTTCGTGAATTTTGTCACTTCAGGCTGATTTCTAAGGAGGTTTTAAATAGACACAGGGCTAAAAGAATGCACACAGCTGTTAAGGAGATGGGTGATGATGGTGAGAATTTGAGTTGGTCATTTTTGGAATTTGCAGAATGTGACCATCAACTGTCTGTAGAAATGTGACCATCAACTATTTTGAACAAGGAAGAGCCTTGACAACTAATAACTGTGCTTAAACCAAGATGTACACACTTAACTAGTGAAGATATATCAATGGCTTTCTTGAACATTTTAACCTCAAAGAAATTTATTGCATTTAACCTTATATGGGATATGAGGTCAGAAAGGGTTTTTTCTACTCATCTTGAATCTTTGTTTTCACTCAGAATCCTATGACTATAAATAAAAGTAAAATTTCAAATCAAATTATGTCCTGTGTAATAAAGGAGATAGTATTAGTGTATAAGTTTGTTAGGGAATTTGTTTTAATCAGTCAAAATGCCTAGAGAAGTTCTAAAAGTATGGTGGAGCCAGAAATGTCCATTAAATGGCAACTTTTTAAATTGAGGGAACCTGACCTTTTTCACTCAAGTTGGGGTAGTGTCTCTTGACCCTCTAATCCTTTGTGCTTTTCTTCCTGCTATAACCATTAGATACAGTCACATGGTTTGAGATAGTCATAATCAATGAGGTCAAAATATTTTAATCTGCTTGTGTCTGTTATTGTTTATTAGTATATTTAGAAATTTGAAAGTCATTGAACTAATGATGACCTTGATATTAATTATTTTAAAATTCAAAATGAAAAATTCTGCACCAAATTCATAAGGGAAAGTGCTTAATATTTATTGTACATTTCTATGAAATAAGAGACTTAGAGAAGCATCCTTTGATTAATGTGTTGGTGCTCATTGTTTAATATTGCCTGATAATTTTCCTCTTATATGTATTTTATTTTTCTTGTTTCTAGCTCAGAATCTCTAAGAAATGAAATTGGGTTTGAATTAAAGTCTCCGTTGTCAGATTTTGAGAAAAACAAAAAGATTTCTCTTCTTCATTCAAGCAAGGAAAAGCTAAGAAGGTGAATTTTGATACAACTCTTTATAAGCATTATTCTTTTGTAAGAAGAAAATAGTTTCATGAATTTCATAATTTTTTGTGCTGTTGTTAAAAGCACTAGAAATCTGGCCATTTGCCATTCATTCATGAAATAGCATTCTTTGTCATTCAGCAAATAGTAGTATTAGACTATGTGAGAACATAATTGGAGAATTGAGTAACAAAGAAATTTTTGCTTTCAAAGAGATCTTGCCTACTTCTAAGACCTCCAAGTAGGCTATTGATTAGAAAACTGTGTTTTAACAAATGACATGTTAGAGAAGACTATAAAGTAAACACACTAGAAAGGTTACCTAAGGTAGAATAAAAGGTCTGGGAAGGCTTTTTTTTTTTTTTTTTGAGAAGATGATAGCTAACTTGAGCTTTAAACAAAAAGTGACCTTTAATTTGTTTAAGAAGTCAGAGAAGAACATTTCATTTGGCAAGACAACCAGGTAAGAGGCTGGCAGTATCAGAAAGTAAAGTGAATTTATGGAACTGAAAGTATTGTTCTGTAGTTGGATCTGCAGGCACAAGTAGAAGTGGCAAGAGATGAGAGGTAATAGCTAAGAGGTAAGGATATCATGTTAAGAAATTTCAATTTCAACCTAAATTGCTGAGGAGGAACTAAAGGATTTGTCAAAGGAGTGATGAGGTAACATTTGTACATTAGAATGAAGACTCTAGCAAGATGTTAGAGAACAAGTTGAATCTGCAGTAGAGTCTGTAATAAGAAATGATGAATCCTGAATTCTGGTGTCAGAAATGGGACAGTGAGGAAAAGGCCACCATTAGATAATATTAAGTAGGTAAACTGAAGCAGGAGTCAAATGTAACTTCCAAGTAAATAGTGAAATACACTGGAATGGCATTCTGGCAGTGGGAGCTATTTTTGTTTTTGTTGGACTTGAACACCTGCTCCAGGTTTAAATGGAGATGTCCAGTAAGGAGTTGGCTTTTATATTCTAGAGAAAGATCCAGGGTAGATTTAGAGATATCAGTACATAGCACATATTTGAAGCAATGGATGTAGGGATGGATATGAGGACTTTGAAAAGTATGTAGGGCAGCGACAAGAGGAGAAGAGAACCTTGGGGAGATCTCAGTATTTAAGGTACAGGCAGCAGAGAAGAGAACAGAGGAAAAAGAGTCACTAGAAAGATGAGAGGAAAACCAAGAGGGAACAGTATTGAGATCAGGGGAGAAGAGAACTTCCTAAAAAGCATGTGTTCAGGAGTATCAACATGACATAGAGATCAAGAAAGGTTAAGAACTGATAATTGACTGTTTGCATATAGCAAAATCTAAACTTCATTGATCTTGGTGAAAATAATTTCATTGACTTGATTAGGAAAGGTCATTTTAGAAAGATGGAAAATAAAAGGTGGAAGCATAGATAAAGGCAAAAGTGAAGATATGTACAATGTAAAAGGATGTTTAGGGTAAAATAAGAACTTTGCATAAGGCTGGACCAGATCTGAATATGTTTATATTTCAAAAGAAAACAGTTGGAAGACCAACCAAAGTCTTAAAGATACAAACCAGGTTTTATGAGTTAGCAGTTTGAATAGGGCTCAGCATGCAATTCTTCCGCCTCATGACATTAACTGAGGTCATTTGCCAGTGTTCAGCTGGTGCAGGGTCCAGAACTAGGGCTGAAACCTTTGCAGGGATGTCTGGGTAGCTGCATTCAGATGGGGTCATCAACTGAATGTTCTCTAGTACCCCAGTTGTTGGACTTCTTGTGTGGGAGCCACAGTTCCTAGAGAGTCTCCAGGACACAGGAGGAGGAAGCTGATGGTATCTTAATGTCTGGGGCCAGAACCAGGCCTAGTGCCCCTTCTACGATAGCTGTTGGTAGGACAATCACACAGCCCAATCATATCTGAGAATAGAGTGCAGAAACCTCACCTCTCAGTGGTAGAAACATCAAAGAATGTTAATCCCCTACAACTGGTGAGTGGTTTGGTGATGGATTTAGCATCTCAGAAGAGACAGAATGCTATGGAATCCAGAACCAGGTGGAAGAACACCTCTTCCACTGCAATTGGAGGAAAGGAGCTAAAATTAAGTGTGGATAAAGATGAATTTTTCCATTGGGACCAGAAAAGGGAAGGAAATTGAGTAAATCCTGCCAAATGATCTCTGTTATCTACTGGGAAGATGAGAGGGGTTGCTAGTCTGGTCCAAAGACCTTCACTCACAAGTGTGGCTTTGGTTAAGTAAAGACTTAGGGCCTGCTGGCCAGTACTATCCCATATATTTTGCTGATCTGTTATGAAAGAGAAAAATGGGTGTATTTAAAGTGACATATTTTGCAATTTGTATCTTAAGATTGTATTCTCAGTGTTTGATATTAAAATTGTGATGATATTAGTAAATGCTTACAATGAAATGGTATTGGGAAATGGTACATTTCTTTTATTATTTGTGTTCAGGGATTTCTTTTTTAAACAATTCTACCATCTCTTTTTATATGTACAGATTAATAAAAGTTAGCTATCTGATTCTAAATTCCTGATGAAATCCCTTTTACTACACACATTTTAAATACATAAATGTGATGTTTTTGTCTTGGGATAGTGTATTTTTCAAAATGATACCATCATTTTGATTGTATGTCTGTGAATCTGAAATGATGGTGGTTTAGTACTTTTCAGCATGTCTGCTTATTGTAAAGAAGTAAAGTGAGCCTTGCCATCATTCATCACCAATTAAGTCTTTTTCAGGATTGGCTTAGCAATTCAAGAAAGAAAGAACAGCTCTCAGAGAGTCCCAAGTCATAACTGACTGAGAGACCTCTCTTTGTGAGGTCTTATTTGTTTGAGAGACGGTTGTACAGAGAAGGAACTTAGTGTAGACCTAGACCTTTGCCTTCAGTTCCCCTTAAGCCTCTCAGAATCACTCTTAACTGAGAAGGAATGAAATCATTTGGTTCTTTCCCCAACTTGCTTGGATTGGTCAAAACCAAGCTGGTTTCTGTGGTAGAAAACAAAGCAAAACATGCTCTTTAACTTATTAACAACTGCTGCTTCCGTACACAAAGTTAAAAAGAAAATGACAAGATCACAAGGAGCTCATAAATCCTGTTATCTCCTTTGAACAAACATTAATATCCTTCAAAAGGTTTATTTACTCCTCATTCTTTTCTTTTTTTAAAAAAATTGTGGTATAGTTAACATGCAATAAAATGCAGTAGAAGCTTAGGGGGTTGCTCTGCTGGCAAACCTTTCCTTAAAGTACAACCAAAAAAGCAACCATTACCTACACATATATCTCAACAGCTCACCATCATTTTTTCTCCTTCCAGCTACTCATTTTTCTCCCTGAAATGGATGCTTTATTACTCGATAAGGTTTTGGAGCAGGGAAAGGGAAGGGGAACTTTGGGCCCTGTGGCAGCCATTCCTGGCAGAAGAATGTACTACTAGATGGCATGAGCTCTCGTGTGCCCAGAGGCACAAGGTTACCTCTGCAGTGATTGTGAAATACTGTTATGCTTCCTCCTGAACCCTGGGGTGGATCAGTCAGTGCCAGAGCATTGGTCTGGTTTTAGTGTAAGTAGTGGCAGAACACCATCCCCCATCCTGTAGGAAGTGAGTTATTCTGAGGGTGAAGAAAAATCTGCTGTCAATATTAGACTCACACAATACTAGGAAGCAGGTCCTGGGCATGGAGTGGAGCTTGATCTGACTGCAGAGCTAGAAACAATGGCATAGGCTCCCCAGCTTGGTATGATTCACCCCATCCAAGTCTGAAAACACTTACTCAAGGCAACTAAGCTTCTACTCCCCAGAGTCCCTCCTTCTACTACCTCAATAAACAAGGAAGATCCCAAAAATAAAAACACAGCACTACTGGGGGGGAAAAAAGATCAGCCTAGAGAACATAATATGGAAAAAGATTACAGAGCTGAATTCAAACTTCATGACTTAGAATTAGGGGAGCTAGCAGATAAAGAGTTCAGAAGAGTAATCATTAAGAGGCTTAAAGTTTGAGACTCTTAATTAAACACAGAAAGTAACATCAGAAAAGATATTCAGGAACAAAAGGAATTAATTACCAAAGAAATTTAAGCTATAAGGAATAAAAAAGCAGAAATTATGGATGTGAGGAATAAAATGAAAGAACTGAAAACAGCCATGGAAAGCATAGTAAGTAGGCTTAACCTTGCAGAGGAAAGAATTTCAAAATCTAGATAAAATTTTAAAAATAACTTGGGTGAAAGAGAAGAGAGAAATGAAACAGGGAAAATGAAGAAACTACATGAAATATCAGACTATATGAGAAGAAGAACCATAAGGATAATGGGTTCCCTGAAAATGAAGAAACAAAGACCAGAGATAGTATTCAATAATAGCTGAGAGCTTTTGAAATCTAAGGAAAAGAACTAACCTTACAAATCCAGGGAGCAGACAGAAAACCAGAACTCTGCATGTGAAATGATCTCCCACAATACACATCATTTTAAAATTATCAAAAGTCAAAGAAAAAATATTGGAGACTTCTGGATTGGGTGGGTAGGGGAGCATGTAGCATAAAAAGACGTCTTAATTAGGCAGTCATCAGATTTCTCAGTAGAAATTCTACAGACTAGAAGAGAGTGGAATGACATTCACAATTCCAAAAAATAACTGCCAGCTAAGAATATTCTATCCTGAAAAAAATTTTCAAGTATGATGGAAAAGGGCCTCCCCGGTGGCGCAGAGGTTGAGCGCTGGGTTGCGAAGCTGCCTGCAGCTCTGCAGTCCCGATTCGATCCCTGGCCGCCAGGTGAGGGTCCCACATGGCGTGACAACCTCTCCTGCCGCCCGCTGCTCCCCTCAGCAGTGTACTTTGTCTGTCTGCCTGTTCTGCTCTCCGCTCTGGCTCTGGTGAATTCTTTCAACCTCCCACGCTTCTGACTGTACCCAGTGCTTATATAAATAAATAAAAATAAATCTTTAAAAAAATATATAATAGAAAACTACTTTCACAAACTCAA